TCTAATGCTTATAATCCCTTTTTAATGGGAAAAGAAATTTCAACTAGGATAAATGACAAAATACGTGCACCTTAACACCAGTATTTTCTTTTCCTGTTAGAATACTCTCTCTGTATATAACTAAAAGACAAGAAAACTTGCTGCTTTTTTTCCCTTCCTTTACTGATTACTGATTTTAGGGAAGCCTTTGGGTGTGTAATATTAGCTGAAAAGTTGATGAGGGGAATTCATATTTCCTTTCACGTTCACAACTTAACAATAACGGTTTTCTATCTCCAAGTGTTACAGAAGGAAATACGGCTAAAAGAAACAAACAAGAGAATCGGATGCTAGGAAGTGTCTGGGGAGAGAATATTTCTAGGAACCATGTTCCCATCAGGACGGTGCTGGTGATGCTGGCTGAACGGGCTTCCTGTGTTCTCTCAGCTTCCCAGCTCAGCTCCAGACCACTCTGACTGAGCAGGCATCCCACAGGATCCAGTGTTATCTGGTGGAGAAATCAAGTGGCAGGCACACTGATTGAAACAGGCAAAGTGTTACAGCTGAGTGAAGTCAACAGGCTGCGGCAAGCCTAAGGGAATAGGCATTGTCTTTATATTTTATTTTAAATCTGACTCCTTACAGGGGTTGTGAAGAAGTGTGTGAGCCCCACCCTTGCGCTCGTGGGCTTCCGGTATGGAGACACCAAGGTCGTGCCCATCTCATTCATCACGCCTGTAGGGGGTGCCATGCCCTGCCCACTGCTCCAGGTACCTGCTCCAGCCATCTCTTCCCGGGCCCTTTTTCACCATTCCCAGAGCTCTGGATAACAGTGGCCCCTGTTCCTATGACCTCTTGCCTAGCAATTTCTTTGCTCCTGACCCTGATCTGCTAACACCCTGTTAAGGAGCTCAGGACAGCACAGACCTGTTTGCATTGCCCCTTGAGGCCCTTGTCACTTAACAGACACTAGACAGTTTGGGAGAGGGATTTGCTATGACTGCTGGTGCTCGTGAACTGCAGAAGATGATACTAAAACAGATTTAATAACAAGAGGAGAGAGAAG